CCTCTTCCTCCTCCTCCTCCTCCTACGACGGCAGCTAGTGCTACTCAGAATACTAGGAAATAGTCATAGGAGTAATGATATGTCTAATCATCATGCTCATGACCATGACCATGATAATCACCATGATCATGTCATTATCGTAATCATCACAACTATAACCATAATTAAGCCACAAAAACTCGTCGTTATGACAGTTACAGCAAGGATAAAATTGATGCAACCATCATTATCATCATCATCATCGTCATCGTCATCATCATCATCATCAAGGATAGTCATACGAATCATGACAATAGTGTTACTATCAGCATTATCACAATTACTCTTCTGTACTCTTCTTCTATATCCCTGCTGAATAATTATGAAAAATGCGAATTCTACGATGACAGCTATTGCTGCTCAACACGTCGACAGCACATGACATCAGTCGAGTAGTACGTCATAGGAGGAAGAATGCAACGGAGCGCGACAGGAGTGCAAGCAAGTAGGCATTCGAAGGACCTGCATTCACGGTGCAGGCAATGAACAAACAGCAGTGGAGTAACATATTTGTAGGGGAAGAGAAAGCGAAGTTAGAGCCAAGATTGCAGGAATGGACGGGACGGTTGTGATACTCCCTTCCAGTCCTTCGGATGCCCGCCTTCATAAACCAAATCATTTTTGTATGATGTGAAATGATGGCAACCAATCAGGTCTGGGCACCGAGCAGTCAAGAAATCTATCTGGGAACCATCTCGCTTGTCAAATATGAGCTTGTTGGCTACCTCTGGCGTGTAGCCGCAAGAGGGCAATCCAGCGAGCAGGTATCTCCAGTGCCAAGCCTTTGACACCACGATGTCCCAGGAGTACACAGACCTTCGCACCACTGGGCACCATTTTTATCCTCACTGCTTCAATTCTGCCTTTGAGCTCCGTGCCTGGCTGCAGCGACGAGGCAGGCCAGCACATGATCAGTTGCCTTGAGATTCCCAGAGTGCAGATTGAAAATGCCTTGCAAACGCCTTGCAAATGCCCGCAACTGGAAGAGGCGAGGGTCGATCACGGTAACGGAATCATCAGACTGAAGCAGGTCCTGCGATTCATGCCCGCGCGAGCTGTGGCTGGAGTCAACTACGCATCGACCCATGTCCGGCAGGATTGGGTCATCCGATGTCGTGACATTGAAGAAGTTCAGATCCTCAACAGCTGTCGATCAAGACTTCTCCGAGACAGCGCAAACCGCGGGCTGGCGCCTCAAATCGCTTCATAGGTCGCTCGGTTTTGGCCGTCACACGGTCGAACGTCTGTCATAGCGCAAGGAGGGGACAGAATCAGCAAAGCTCACGTACAACATGTTCCATCATGTTTCTTGTTCCCCCTTGGACTCCAGGCTATCGAACAGATTGGCGGCAGGGGCATGGGCACATACGCGGAAAGAGAATAACCCAACTCAGAGATTGTGCGGTCCTGACGTTCGTCTCATTTTGTCCCTCTGTAAGTGGGTGCCTGGGCCCCGAAAGACTGCAGGCCGCCCCCCTACATGCTGCAGTTTAAAAACCTCGTACACCTTGACTCCGTGCCCAGGTCAGCACTCTTACCTCATTGTACATCCAAGTAGCACATGTCCATATGTGACATGGATGCCATTTGTGAGTCCCAGAACTGTGCAGAACCTCAATGGTCCCAACCCCGTGAGCTGACAGTCCCTGCACAACTCGACAGAAAGCAAATTACCCAGAACCGGTGTTGTGTGCATTGTGTGCATGATCGCGCGTAGATCATAACGATCAATCTTGCAGTCTTGTGACTCAAGCCAGCACTTGCCGGAAGTGCCTTGCAGTAAGTCGGAAGGTTTCCGGCCCAATGCACGTCTTCAAACTCCACCAACTGCACAGCCAGTCGAGGGTGAACGCGTCAGGCTGTCATGCGAGCGCAAGGAGATCTTCGTGATTGCATGAGGCCCATATGCCTTGGCGTCAATCTGCAGTTTGGCCTCCGATAAGACACAGTCTCTGGTGATCTTTACCTGAACATGCCTTCGGATCCAACCACATCCGAGGAGCTAGTGACGTGAGCATGATCTCTCTCATGAGCGACCACTCTGGTCTGGTTTGCACAGACCATTCCTGAAGTAAAGGCCCCCAATGCACCATGGAAGAGTGGCCAAGTCATGCCAATGCGCTCCTTGAAGGAAGGCATGCCCCTGCGCGTAGCAGTGGTCTTCTTGCCTTTCCCCTTCGCTTGATTTTGATTTGCCTGCATTTGCCAGTGATTTCGCCAAGCAAGAACCTTTCCTGCAGACGTTGTTCTAGAATTCTAGCAGTCCTGGTAGTACGGCTTCTGCTTCTGACCCAGGATACCTTCCTGGTAATTGGAAGCGATGCCTTTGCCTAGGTGACATGCCAGGCACCATCCATTCGCATGACAATGCAATGACACTCAGCAAGGCAATCACAGCTTTAAGAGGCTGACTTTTCCCTTTACCCTTCATTCCTGTATCAACAGATCCGTCTCTCTTTGCTGCAAATCCTGTCGTGCTCGTGAGCACGCCTGAGGAACGCCCTCTGCCGCTCGATTTGCCCGGGACGGGCCGGCTGTCAACTAGCGAGAAGCCTTCCTCGTCCTTGCCTCGTCAAATCAAACTGGTCAAGCCATGTCAAGCCCCACATGTCACCGTCTGCGGACCTGGCCTGGCTGCAAAGCTTGGACTGGGCCTTTGCCCTGGAGCTCCGTGTTAAAGCACATGCCAGAAACGTAAGCTTCAGCCGTCGCCTTGCCAATTCCCTTTGCACCTTTGCCTTTGTTTCTTTCCGCCTCCAACCGGGCTGAGGGCTTCAAGGCTGCAGCATGCTGCAGCCGACAGTCTCCGTCGCTACGGTGCACCTGGTAGCGTTGCCCGGATGCAGTGAAGTCGCAAACTCGGCCGATGCGCGTCACCGGAAATTTCTCCAGATGATCCACCTGGTCTCGACTGTGCTCGACTGGACTTTCGTTTTTGGTATGTTGCCTGGGCCCGTGACAAAATCACCAATGCCCAAAGGGGTCTCAAGTTCGCCCTGAGGTGGTGGGCCCCAGCCATCGATGTAGCTGCTGACCTTGTTGTACTATGCTGGGATCGCATCAGGGAAATCTCAGCCGTCCGTGCCTGTGGCAAAACAAAATCCACCATGGTCTCGGCGGTGACCTCAATATAAACGACTACCATTAAGCGGCATGGATGTATCTTGCAGGTATCAACGTCGTTTTGGTATGTGGCTTGATGTTCTTGCCTGCCTGGCAGGGCCGTGTAAGCCGGTTTGGTATCCCCGGATTCGATCGAGTGAGGGACAGGATGCGACTCACAGCTGGCACGCACGGAGCTCGAAAGTCGACGCCGTAAATTTCACTGGGGCAAAACAGTGAAACTTCTGCTGTGCAGGAGGGCTGTAGGAAGCTTCTGGTCCGGATGTTGTCCAACGTAAACGACTGATAGACTGATAGACATGGCTGGCAATGGATAACTAAGTAGCTAGGAGGGGGCGCGCAGGAGTGCTCACCAACGTACGATCCGCAAAGCACAACATGAGCTCGGACAGAGCCGGTGACCGTCGGACTGGCCGGCCGGATCTACAAAGCGCTGCGGCAGCATGCCGAACCGAAATGCCAAGCGATTTCGCAGGTGATGGACAAGCAAGTTCGTGCACAGCGGCATGGAGGAAACGGCATGTCAGTCGCAAGCTTCAGATCAGCAACATCCATGGTCCAAGCCTGATGGCCGCGGAGCCTGAACAACACCAAACCTTGCAATCCAGCCAGGCTCAACAAAGCCTTGGCAACGAAGGAAAATGACCAGAGAGCCACACCTTGATTTAAAGGTTGGTGTTGGCATCCATCAAGAGCCTCCATCATGCCGGCAGTACTGTGAAAGATCGCAGTGGAGCCTGCCCTCTACCTGCCTCAGCAAGCTGGATCGCCCCAGCATCGCCGACACCCTGGTGAACTCACAGCTTGACATGGAAAGGGTGCCGCAACTTCGGCATTTGCCTGGCCGGGGCCAGTCTGAAATAAGGAGACAATCCGCTCTCCTCGCCTGACCTGGCCACGATGCTGGGCACCGGTCACTGGAGTCACCGACAATTGACGACAAGCGCGGATGAGCACGGTGCACCTTGTTCAGGGTGCGCTCCAGGTCCAGGGCTGCTGAGCCCCACACGGCCGCTTCATCCTCGTAGCTTCGATGGGGATTCGTCATGCGATGCTCGTGCCACGGCACTTTAACTAAGAAGCTGCTAGCCAGCACACATCGGTGTCGCAAACCTCCGCCTACTCGTCCATCCCCGTCAAGAGCACTGCTGCCTGCTTGTTTTGACACGAGACTTTCGCTATTGCGCCTGTACAGAGTGGCACCAAATTCTCGCGAATTTTGAAGCTCGGCTCACACCTGCTGCTCGTAGAGGCGTTGTTCACCTACAGGGAAGGTACAAGGCAGCAAATGAGCATGGAAGCTGCGCGGGGAAACACAACGAAATTCATGCCACTCAGAAACTCCATTCCGTTCTTACTCACCATCCGTTGAGATGGTAGTCGGAACCCACCCATCAGCGTCCTTTGTCTCTGAAGTCTTCGGCCTGTACTGACCATTGGACCATTGATTCACCTAGGGCAACATCACCGCATGTCCAGCCACTTTTCTCGTCCAGGACTCAGGACGAGGCCTTGCCTAGGTAAACTCGGGTTATGCTCGAGCTTTGTCGTTGCGGCAAGAACTATATCGTGAACAGCACGTGACTCTTTGGTCTTAGGGCTTACAGGAGGGTAGGGATAAATGTAGTGCATATCCGCGACGACAGTGGATACCCCGGCAGCACAAACACAACTGTAGTGATATTACAAGTCAGAATGACTTTGAGGATTATCAAAAGGAGCAGGTAATAAATTGCACACACCAACATAGATAATATGCCTATGCTACGATTGACTTATTGATCTTCCCGTAATCAAGAACTGGCAGGGTAGGGATAGTTTTCAATCATCTTTGTACAAGCGACGAACACCGTATGTTTATAGCAAAACGGAAATGAGATGAGTAGTGTTTTCGGCTGGCCTTTCGATTATCTGCGTGCCAGTTTCGACACGCTCCGGGCTTTGGTTTGCAGATGTCAAAAGTCCGATCGGCTCCTCTAGTAGAAGCATTCTGAATCTAAAGAACATTCCTCTTGTCCAGGCCATCCAGGCTTGATTGAGCAAGCTTGTCGTCAATTTCGCGACCACGACTCCCGCCTTCTGCACGTCGCTGCTGGTTGATACCAGCCTTCCCACAGCTGCTATCAATGCGACTCATGTGCCCTCCTCTGCACCCTTTTTGTGTCTGCCTGTCGCAGGCGACGGCGTGTCCGCTCGAGCTCCTGACATTCTCGTTTGAGATAACGGAGTTGGTAGTCGTACGTCGTTTCTTTGCACCGACGATTGAATCCGATCTGGTCAGTTTAACATTATCGGACATTCTCGGTGACCGTGAGGAACACTCACGCGCTTGCCTTGGCAAATCCATCAGTGACCTGACGGTAATTGCTTCAGAAGTCCTCCCAGAAGACCTTCTGTAGTGTGGCACCATGACTCCTGGGGTCAGGATCCACGGTGCCCCCTGCCTGGCGAATGCATCGCGCTGTCACAAGAATCGATGGTTGTGGCTCGGATTCCTGCTCATGCTCTGCTCGAGCGGCGCAACCATCCTCAGTCTTGTCGGGCACGGGCTGCTGAAAAAGCTGAAAACTCACGACCGAGGACGAAAACTCGGTGCCGTGCACGAAAGGGCAAGCATTGCAGCAGGCCATCGTGGAGGCGTGTCTCAGGGAAGCGGCCAAGAAGTTGGGTCAAACGGGAGCAGTCCAACCTCAACCGTCTCAGGTCTGCTGATGTCTGCTGACTGTGACTACGTGGGAGTCGCTGAGTCAGTCGCTGGGTATCTCGTGGGAGGGATGTCCCAGGTGGACTGCGGACGGCAGAGATTCCGGACGCATCCAATCCGGAGACCTTTGCCACGATCAGCATCATCTCCTGTGGGAACCAAGTAACGAATTCTTGAGTGTGGCGGGATGGGGTGAGGGGAAGGTGAGGTTGGAGGGACCACGACACCGTCAAGGGCGCACGCAGGTTCTGCCTAAAATTGGACACGCCCCCACTACTACTTCAATTTTTTTTTGGTACAGGGGAGGGGCAGGACTAGTACTACTTCATGTTTTTTGGTACAAGGGGGGGGCACGACGACGACAACGACGGCTCCTCCTCCTCCTCCTCCTCCTCCTCCTACTACTACTACTACTACTACTACTACTCCTACTCTCTAGAAGCCACCAAAAGAAGAAGTAGTAGTAGTAGTAGTAGCAGCAGTAGCAGCAGTAGCAGTA